CGCTCCCGGGCACCCCCCCACACCCCCTACCCCCGGCGCCCAGCAGCAGCCACCCCCCTGCTCACCTTCGCTGCAGAACTTGCCGCCAAAGCCCGTGTGGCTGCAGTCGCAGCCCACCTCGCCGGGGGCCAGCACCGTGCAGAGACCGCCATTGGCACAGGGGTTGCGCGCAGGCGCGCACAGTGGGTCCGCGGCGGCGCCGCGCAGGCCCTGGCTGCCCAGGAGCGCGGGAGGCCGCTCGCCCAGCTTCAGGTTGGCCAGAAGGCCGCGGAAGGGCGGCTCGTACTTGACGGTGCTGAGGGTGAGCGCCGAGAGGCGCACGTCGGGCGGGATGCCGCCCACGAACAGGTCGCTGGCCACCTGCATCTCACGCCGCTTGGAGCGCACCTCGGCGGCGCGGGCCTCGCCGTCCACCGCCAGCGCCGTGCGGCGCGCGTCGCGGGTCAGCAGCACCATGTGCCAGCGGTCGTCGGCCACCGGCGTGTCCAGCTGCAGCGTGGCCGGCTCGGCGCACGAGAGCGTGAAGCGCAGCCGCAGGCGCCCGTCCACCAGCAGCAGCTCCAGGAAGTCGCAGTCGCCACCGTCGTCCAGGTAGAGCAGCAGCGCGCGCGTGGCGTTGGTGCGCAGGCTGAAGCTGAGCTCGCCGCTGCTCGCCGCGCCGGCCCAGCGCGCGTAGCGAGCCCACTGCCCGGGGCCGCCGCCGAACTCCAGGCCGCCCGCGCCCGCCGCCAGCGTCAGCAGCAGCAACAGCAGCAGCAGCGGCGGCGGCGACGGCGGCCGCCACGGGCTCCCGGCCGCCATGCCTCCGGCGGCCCCGGCCCCGCCCGGCCCCCGGCCCCGCTCAGGCTTCAGAGCCGCGGGCGCATGGGGCGGGGAGGGGGCCGGGCGCCCCCCGCGCCGAGCGGGGCTCCCTCGCGGGCTCACAGTGCCATGGGCCCGGCCGCGGGGCGAGGCGCAGAGGCCCAGGTACCGGCTTCCCTGGGCGGCGGTGGAGGCGCCCCTCCCCCGCTGCGGGCTCCGACGAAAGACGGGGGAGGGATGCCTGCGGGGAAACAGAGAGAAAAGGGTTAAGGAGGGGTTCGGAGGAGGGGAAAGGGTTAAGGAAGGGATCAAGGGTCGTGACTCCCCCCATCACACCGGCAGGCACCCAATGGTTTCCCTTTAGGACTTGAGGGGTCGGCCCTGACCTGGAGAGGGTCCCAGAACAAGAGATACCACGATAGATAGTAGAACTGGGGGCCCAACACTTGCACTCATTAGGGTAATTATTAATTTTAGATGTGGGCGGGTGGGTAGTAGCATCTTAAAGTTCATAGGAGCCCAGTGCAGCCGCCCTTACACGCGTCTCCCTGCACGACCAGGGCCAGTTCCTGTGGGTGAGGCCTGGAGACCCTCCGCCAGCTGGTGACCCCAGGCCCTTCCTCTCTGAGTCACCCAACCTCTGTGTGGTGTTCCCACCGCCAGCCAGTCGCGGCTCTGTCTCATCAGCTCCTGATGCTGGATGATGAAGTTGCTAAATAATTCATTGGGATTAATTAAATGCCAATTCGTCAATGGGATCATTGGGTAACCTGGCTGAGAAGGGGGCAAGGGAGAGAAGCCAGCTGTGACCCGAACATCCAGGCCCCAAGCCCTCTCCATCCACACAAGGGTACAAGCATCTGATTCCACGTCCCCGATTCCCCCCACACAACACTCCACCCCTTCCTGGGCCCCAACCCCACTGCTCACCAGCCCACAAACCTAAATGTCTGTCTGTCCCCTCAAGCCCCAGTTGCCAGTCCTCAGCCTCGGGCCTGGCCCAATACCTGGGTTCTCTTCACCCCTGGGTTCCACCCCCTCCCCATCCACGGCTGGGGGAGCCACCAGGAGGCAGGCAGGCTCATTTACATAAAATTGCCTTTCTGAAATGATTACCCTTGTAACGGGCTGTCAGAGAGCAATTTATACCCCACACCGGGGAGGGGAATTTGCATCTCGTTAAACTCCGAGTCATAATTATTTATATCCAACAACCCTCCTGAATATTGCATTGATTTTATTTTGGGGAGGGAGGAAGGGAAGGAGGTGGGGTGAAGCCTGGGAGAGAAGCAGGGAGGGCCCAAAGTTTCGGAAGGGACAGGGAAAGATTGAAGGCTGAGGAGAGGAATGGCACAAAAAGTGACAGAGACAGAAGAGTAATGGAGGAGAAAGGTGGCCTGATGGGGAGAAAAGGAGAGAGAAGCTAGAGAAAATTAAATTCCAAATCCAAACAGCATTTGTCAAGGCCCGGGAGCCTGGGCATTTTTACCAATGGCATTTTACTTAATCACTCTGAGAAGTCCCACTGTTCCCATTGACCACTGGGGAAGCGTACATAGGGAAGTCTAGGGACTTGCCCAAGGTCACACAGCCTGTCAGCAGGAATTGGGACTTAGATCCACATGTGTCAGACTGCAGCCTTCCACAAAGGAGACAAGGGGTGGGGTAGCCACAGGTCTCACTCAGAGCAGTGGGAACCAAAAGGAGAGGAGAGTGGGGCAGGAGAAGGTTGGGTGGGTGTGGTTCCTTTCTACATGGGAGCAAGGGTACGAAGGGAGAGAGAGAAAGCTAGGGGCCCCCTAAAAATCCATAGCAGGGGAGTGAGCAGAGGGTCATCGGAGGGCAGGGATGGTCGGAGTGACATGTGTGCCAAAGGAAGAGGGGGCAGAGAAGGTCCCAGGAGACCAGGGGTAGGGTTTGGGGAGCTATCTCCAAGAGACCCTCAAAGCCCAGTTCTCAGATCCTTCTATCTGGCTTCTTCTGACTGTTGCCCTGCCCACCCACCCCCACCACCCCCCAGTCCCACGGGCTTCAGTGGGGACTCAAGTTTCCCACCTCACTGCCCCTTCCCAAGCAGGGGACAGAAGACGATTCAGGCAGACAGCCCCCTCTCCCTCCAAACACTGTCCGGGTTATATATAGCTTTGCCACTGCCTCTCCTCATTGGGTAATGGAGATAATTAACATGCGCGGGCTAATTAGCCAATCAAATTAAATGCAGCACCTGCTCCCAGCCTGATTGACGCCCTTACCCCCACACACATGCGCCCCCAGCCCAGGGCAGAGGAGGGGGACCCTCAGGCTTGGGGGAGGGAAAGGCCAAACTCTCCCTTTTCTCCAGAAGGGGCAGGGAGGCCCCCAGCGGAGGCACAGGCCTGAAGGGCAGAAAAGTGACGTCCTTCCTCCCTCCCCTGCTGGGGTCTCAGTCTCTCTCCGCCTCCCCCCAACCCCCACCCCCACCTCCGGACACATTTTGGGGAGGGAATTAATTAGCTATCGATTTCCACTAGCAGAGGGAATAGGATTTCGTGCAGGCTGTCCACTCTCACCCCTCAGCTCGGGAGAGGGAGGGGATTAGTTCCCCTGCCCCACCCCCAACCCAATCCCCCTGCCATACTCACAATCCCCCACCCTCTAGGGAGCTGGCAGGGGGCTTCTTGCTGAGAAAGCCTAGGGGCAAGGTCCCCCTTGTTCCGGAACTTGGCAGAGGACAGATAGAGTGAAGGTTGGTGAGGAGGCCTCCAGAGGGCTGGGAGGCAGACGCCTGGGTCCCGGAGGCCAGTTGGGGGGTGGGGAGGGAGGGGGTGGGCAAAGCGTGCGACAGAGAGTGGCTGTGTGTGCCAAGATGTGCAAGGAGAGTGTGGGAAGGGAGCAGATACAGCGCCTGTGAGCCCGCGGTGGGGGCAGAGGCTGGGTTTGTGCGGTGTCTCCAGGGAGGGGCGAGGGCAGGGTCTGGGAACCAGGGCCCCTCAAGACTCATTACTCATTCTCCCCACAGCCCACAGCTCTGCAGCACAGGCCAGGCTGGCTCAGCGCCGGGGCACAGGGGCTGCAGGGCTGGCCAGGAGGAAGCCCCAGCCCTCCCTGGGTCCTCTCTCCAGGGACCCAGAGACCCTGGGAGCAGCTTCAGGCTTGTGAGACAGAGATGGCCCCAAGAGGAGTGCGTGCTAAGTGGACACCTGGGTCCCTTCCACCCCACCCTGCAGTTCCAGCTTCTGCTGACCCAGCCTCCAACCCACCCTTCCTCCCGCGATGCAGGGGGAATCCTGCAAACCTTCCTCCACTCCTGGTACACGGCTCTCCAGACTCAGATCTCCTAGCCATGGGCCAGGGCTGGCCATGCACAACCACATCAAGTAAATGGTGGCCCCTGGAGTTGTGCAAGGCAATGGCCCCTCCCTAGGCCCATGCAGTGCACTGGAAGCCCCCTGCACCCACAGACCAGGCACTGGCTCCCCAAGACCCACTCTTCTTCTCCAGCGCCCACTGGCCGGTGCAGGGACACGGGCCAGAGCGGCCTCGGGATATCCCGTCCTTGACTGACGTCAGCGCAGCGCACACTGCCAGCCACTGCTGGGCCCGGGGCCACTGTTCCTCTGGGGACCTGACCTCTCCCATGTCATGTGGGACTCTGCCCCCAGTCAGCTCCCTAGCGCCCCCAACCCACAGAAGGACTCTGCAGCCTTGAGCCAGTGGGGATGGGAGCTGGAGGGGGAGGGGATCAGGCCCCCGGCCTACTCTCTTGCCCACTGAACGCTCTCCCACAGGCTTTTCCTAGGTCATTCTAGGCTGACAGCCTCCTTCTCACCTTCCGCGGCCAGGCCAGGCCAGGCCAGTGCCACCCTGGCGTGCGGGCTACAACTTCTGGGCTCCGCGCCGTGCACCAGGCACCTGGCCGGACCACCACACACGCGCACTGTCTCATTTCACCTACAGTTTGGGGACTTGCTTTCATCGCCCCAGACTAAGCTTAGACTGATTAATTCATTGGCCCAAGTGAGTGTAGGTAAGACATTGCTGGCTCCAGCATCTACTGCCTCCCTCCCCCCTTGCCCTGTGCACAGGCCACAGGGATGCGGTGAGCTCGGAGCCCACCTTTCTCCGATCTGGCCTCCACAGGGGCCACTGCCCTTCGCAGACACCCCAGACTCCGTCTGCCCCCAGGGCTGAAAGACCCAGGCCTCAGGGCTCTTGGAGCGTCATCCTTCTCGCCTTTTCCGAGGTGGAAACTGAGTCCCAGAGAGGGGCAGTGACTGACCCAGGGCCACACAGCAGAGCAAGACTAAAACGAAGGTCGCTGGCCTTCTGTTCTAGATGCTTCCCACTGTACCCACTGTTCAGGACCTGGGCCTTCCACCTGACCCAAAGCCTCGGCCCTCCCCACACCGCCAGTGCAAACTAAGCAAATGGACGCAAACTTCAGGGGAAGAGATGGTCCATGCCGCCATGCCGGCAGAGCCCCTGGCCAGGGGCCCTCTCCCAGCATCCACCCACCCCATCTCCAGCCACATCTATACCATACACGCGCACACGCACACGCACACCTCCAGCCTTGGGAATGCCAGCCTCCCTCTGGCTCTCTTCCCCTCACGCCAGCTCTCTCTCATGCCAGCTGGGAGTGTGACAGCAGGGGCCTCCCCCAGGCGCCAGGGAGGAAGAGCTGGGTTTACACACATTCTGGTGGCCCCAGAAGGCAGCCCGTGGACAGGTGGGAGAAGTGCGTGTTGCGGGGAGGGAGATTTTGGCTCGAGCTAAAGAGAAACTTGCTGGCAATTTAAAGCATCCAACAGCGGAGTAGGCTGCCTCGGGGGGGGGGGGGCGGTGAGTCCCCCTTCTGTGGAGGTGTGTGAGCCGAGGCGGGTGACTGCTGCTCAGTGGAGCTCAGGAGGGGGCTCTTGAATCACATGGGAGGGGACATCAAACTACTTGAGCCCTAAGGTCCCTTTCAATCAGTGGGGCTTTTGGAGGGCCTCCCTAAAACCTTGGGCAGGATTGGTGGG